TGCTTTCAGTCTCCACATGGAAAGAGCAGGCTGACACCTCTCCTGAGTCCCCAAAGCAACTGTCTTGGTGAATTGTGGAAAAATTCCTAAACCTGTAGTTTTCTGCAGATTACTAGATGAGTTGTTTTTCTCCTATGACAAAATACCAAGAGGAGTCCTGTAGAGGTATTCATGTGGGCAGCTGAAGGAACCATGGCTCAGACACTGACAAGGTTTTGCCGAGAGTTCAACCTGGAGTTCAAGTAGCCCCACACTTCCCTATTTGAGGGCCCTGTTCAATATATAATCTCTGGTGTCTCCAGTTTACTCATGGGCACATGGGTCAGAGATCCAGGAGAATGAGGAACAGATCCTTCTGCCTCTGAAGGGAGCCCTACAAGCAAATTCCCTGGAGAGGAACAGCCAGACCTGGGAGGAGAACCAGAACCTGTGAGCCATGACTCAGGAACCTCCTAACATAAAGAGCTGGACTTCACTGAAGCCAGGGCATGCTCTCTCTCACTCACACATGTGTGCATGCAGGAATGCACAAGTACACACACACACACACACACACACACACACACACACACACAAAGTGAATGAGAGGTTGTGTGATATGGTTCACCTAGGCTACATGTGATTCTACTGGATTCAGTTGACTTGTATTTTATTTATTTTTATTTTATTTTATTTTATTTTTTGAGATAGAATCTCTATATAGCCCTGGCTTTTTTGGAACTCACTATGTAGACCAGGCTGGCCTCAAACTCAGAGATCCTTCTGCCTCTTCATCCTGAGTGTTGGAACTAAAGGCGTGTGAAACACACCCAAAAGACTTGTGTTTTATTGTGTTTATCCCAATTGCACAACTTCACTAAAAAGTTCCTGACAACCAACCAAAATGTCATGACTTAAGTAAAAAAAATAAAAACTATGGGTAATGATGGCAACAATATACTCTAAGCACCTGTGAAAGTCTATTTTAGTTGTGTGCATGACTGGATTAAAAATACCCCGGACTAGCCAGGCAGAGGTGGTGCACTCCTTTAGTCCCAGCACTCGGGAGGCAGAGGCAGGTGGTTTTCTTTGAATTAGGCCAGCCTGATCTACAAAGTGAGTTCCAGGACAGCCAGGGCTATCCACAAAGAAACCCTGTCTCAGGGTGGAAAAAAAAATTCACAAATGTGCATTTGTGAAGTACACATTTAAGTATGTCTGTGAAGGAGTTTCCAGAGAGGGTTACCTGAGGGGGCAAGACTCACCCTGCATGCAGGCATCACAATCTCCTAGGTTGGGGTCCAGAACTGGATAAAAAGACAAAGACATGAAATGAAGCCTAGCCTCAGCATGCACCTCTCTGTGTCCAGACTGTGCATGCCTGCAGTCAGCTGATTCAAACACCTGTGGCCACACCTTCAACCTCTGCTGGACTGTATCCTCTCTAACCATGAGCCACAATAAGCCCTCCTCCCTTAACTCGATTCCTATCTGGGATTTTGACACAGCCGAGAACGGCAATGAAGACTGACCTTATCCACAGGAGAAAATACCATCATGCAACCTGTTACTTTAAAGAAAACATTCTGTTATTACATTTACTCATTTATATGTGTTGAAGGTGTGTTGAGCATGCCAGATGCACATGTAGAAGTCAGAGAACAGGGGCTGGAGAGATGGCTCAGAATTCCCAGCGACCACATAGTGGCTCACAACCATCCATTAAGAGGTCTGGTGCCCTCTTCTGGTGTGCAGATATACATGGAAGCAGAATATGTTATACATAATAAGTAAATAAAATCTTTCTTAAAAAAAGAAGTCAGAGAACAACTTGTGGGGGTCAGTTCTCTCCTTCTCCCACGTGGGTCTGTGAGGTCAAGCTCAGGTCATCAGTCTTGGGAGCAATCACTTTTACCCACTAAGCCAGCTCATTGGCCCACAACCCACTATTTTATGCAATTATCATAGACTAATAAAAAGTATACCTTTTAAAATGTAAATCACAGTCTAATATAGCCCATGTTAATCTAAAACTCACCTTGTAACCTTGAACTGAATCTTCTGGCCCCACCTCCCAAGTGCTATGCTTACATGTGTGAGTCACCTCACTGGGCTAAAAAATACAAACATTGAAAAATCACATTGATGAAGACAATACCCATATAGGACTTCGTGTAGTTCATTCCTCATCCAGTGACCTGAGCCTCCATCAAAGATGTGGGAACCAGCCTGGACTAGTTATGGCTCTGAGCTGTCAAGGACTTTTGTGAACGCAGATCCTATTGGGCCATTGAAACTCACTTTGCTCTTCATCTCTTTGTTAGGGAACACAGGGAATTCCCAGGTGCTATTTATTCCAAGAAAGTGTGTTCCACCATTGTGGTCATTGGGAACTGCCTTGGACCTGGCTGCATGCTCTGGGCAGGTGCCCAACATATACATACATGCTGTAATGAACCATGAAAGGTTGACCTGGTGTCTATGCTGTGCCCATTTCTCCAGTGCAGATGAAATACTTGAACTGCTTTTGCCTTGTTTTGATTTTCTTTTTGTGGTGGTTTGATTTGGTTTGTTTGGGTTGGTTTTTTTTTTTTTTTTTTTTTTTGGTTTTGGTTTTGCTTTGGGTTTTTTTTTGTTTTGTTGCGGGTTTTTTGTTTGTTTGTTTGTTTGTTTGTTTGTTTTGAGACAGGATTTCTCTGTGGCTTTGGAGGCTGTCCTGGAACTAGCTCTTGTAGACCAGGCTGGTCTCAAACTCACAGAGATCCACCTGCCTCTGCCTCCCCGCCCCACCATTGCCTGGCTGGTTTGTTTGTTTTAAAGGGGCCAGTAAGAATGCTTAGCAAGTAAACACACTTGCCACCAAGCCTGGCAACATGAGTTCATTTGTAGAAAGAATCAGCTCCACAAATGATCCCCTGACCTTCACATGTACACAGATACACACACACACACACACACACACACACACACACACACACCTTTTAAAATAATTGGATTGCGTTATACAAAACAAAACTTTACTTAGAACTGCAATCTTTCAAGTCTCAGTCTCGATGTGCTATGAATAAAGAACCAACCTGTTTACATAATCCCGGGACACTCCAATATTGCCAGTGGGAAGTTCTGATCCTGAACTCTGGCCAGTGGCTGAGAGAATATGAGTGAAAGAAACCCCACCTGCTTTCTCTAAACTAGGCCCTATCAGAAGACCCACAAACCAGGGACATGCAGGTAAGAAAGGGGCACATTGCCCTTCTGCTGGTGGGTTGGAAGGACTCCACAGCCAAAACACAAGGTATTGTGTGGTTCCCAAAATAGTCAGAGAGGTGCCTCCTACACTCGATCCCTGACAGGAACACCAGACCTCAGACTCTCCTGCCCTGAGCAGGTTAATAGACCAAGCTGCCCTTAGGAGCCTCTCACCTACCTGCTCAGAAGTCTTATAAAAGTAAAATCCAGGCCCAGGATGGTCAGGATGAAGAGATCAAGGTGAGGGGGCCTCCTGGAAAGAGCGCACAGAGGAGGGGGAGCAGCTGAAGGGCAGCCTGAGCTCCTGGGTTTCCTCTCAGACCTTGCTCCACTCTGGACTTTGCACTTTGCTACAAATCTTAACTGGTAGGCATGAGCCCTGCCAGCCTCCCCCAGAGGCGGAGCCTGCAGCCAGAGCTGTTTTCAGTTTCAGTTCCTGGAAATGGCTAGTTTTCAGGATTCAGCTACAGGCTCCACATTCTCCTTCAGAGAGGGGCGGGTTCTGTCAGATGGCCAGGCTTGGGGTGGGAAGTCTGGCTCATATTTACTCTAATCATATGATCATTTTCCACTGTTCTAGGCAATATCTTTCTTCAGATAATATACTCTGGGCTATTGATGACCCTGGGAGTAGAGGAATTGTAACTATTGAGCCTGAGTCAGTATTTTACATCATGGCAAAACAGGTTTGGTGTTTTCAGGGCAAGGCAGAATGAGCTGATAAATGCCAGATCCAGAGGGTATCCTGTGAACCATAGGTAGCATGGCTACCTTCTCACAGTCCCTGGCTTCTCATTCCCTCATTCTCAGTTTCTGGGCTGTTCTGAGCTCCTCCAAGCCCCTGTCTTGCTGTCCCAACACCTGGAGAGATGCTTCCCACCGCCACACAGCCTCATTCTCCCTCCAGCCTCAGCCTGGAGTGGCCTCCATGAGACAGCTGCACTGTCCCAGGGCCCTCTTAGCCACTCCCTGGATGCCTGCTTCTCCTTCTCCAAATAGGACAGCCCCTGGAACACCCAGCCCAGAACTTTAGAGTCTGTGGTCTTCATGCTCATGCAGGTCAGCAACTCCTACCTCACACCTACACAAGTGCATATGCATACTTGTATTTATGCAGGTATGTCTGTGCATGCGATCTAAGTACGGGTGACTTCATTATGCACATGCCTTGGACCCAAAGTGGGTCGACTGAGTCTCTGGGAAATATTAAAAGCAGCACTCCATGCTCTGCAGTGATTACTACTGCCTGTGAGATCCCCAAGAGCTCTTTAACAGATCTTATATCTTCATTCTAATCTGGGAGCAGCTGTTGGGCATGACTATGCCCCTAGGGATACTTCGTAGTGAAGCTCATTAATTTATGCAACTAATTTGTGTTAATAATTAGGGCAGTGATATGCCTTAGGTGGCAAAGAACTTAGCTAGCATGCACAGGTCACAGGTTCCATCCCCAGCACCACATAAAACTGGGTATAAAGTGCATGCCTTTAATGCTAGCATTCTGAAAACAGAGGAGGTAAGCCTCTATGAGTTCCAGGTCAGCCTGGTCTACATAGCGACATAGAAAGACCGTATCTTGAAACAACAGGAAAATCCATTGGGGAGAGGACTTCATGTCTCTCATTCCAGCACACAGGAGGAGATAGAGGTAAAAGGGTCAGGAATTCAAGGCCATCTGTGAATACATAGTTGGAAGTCAAGGTGAGATACAAGAGACCCTAGTGCACACACACACACACACACACACACACACACACACACACCTCTACTTGGGGTTGAAGGTAGCTGGAGAAATGGTTCAGCATTAAGAGCACTTATTTGCTCTTCCAGAGAACAGGGGTTCAGTTCTCAGCAACCATGTCAGGCAGCTCACACCTGCCTTTAACTCCTTATGGCCTCTGAAGTCACCCATATACCATGGCATATACAGACATTTGTGCATAAATAAAATAATTTCTCTTTTACAAAAAGCCTGTGGGGCTGGAGAGATGGCTCAGGGGTTAAGAGTACTGGCTGCTCTTCCCAGAAACAACATGGTGGCTCACAACCATCTATATGAGATCTGGTGTCCTCTTCTGGCCTGCAGGCATAGCATACATTCAGGTACAACACTGTATACATAATAACTATATAAATCTTTAAAAAATAAAAAATTCTATGTAGGGCGTTTGTAGACAGGAAAATAATGACATCAGGGCGACACAAATAAAACAGAATAGAAAGATAGCAGAGTGACGCAGCAGTTTATTTTCTGTTGCCTTTCAGAGAAATTGCAGATGTCAATAAGGAGTTAGGAAATCCTGTGTGACCAAACAGCTGAGGGACAGGGTTGGAAAGGGACAAAATTAGCCCAGGCTGCCAAATGTGCTTTGGATATTAGATAACAGTGAGGGACAGCCAGGGACCTTCCTGGGGAAATCACCTCAGCCCAGGAGGACTGTGCGGCAGCACTCTTTGCAGACATCCAGACCGCCTACACCAGCAGGTTGGGCTGTCCCTGAACCAGAGGGGGCATCTAGATGAACCACCCTTGCTCTTCTGAGTGAGCTTATGGATACACAGTGAGGACTGAGATCATAGGATGGGTTAAGTGTTCCCTGCCTTGTTCAGGGACACTAGTCTGTGACTTAAGGCACTGTCTGCTCTGTCTTCAGGAAAAATTGAGGAAGTCAAAAGTTGACTGTCCATAAGGCTGGAGAGATGGCTCAAGGGTTAAGGTCGTTTGTTACTTTTCTAGAAGACTAGTTTCAGTTCCCAGCACCCACTCACAACTATCTGTAACTCTAGCTCCAGAGAGTCCAACATTTCTATTTCTTTTGGCCTTTGTGGATAATATAAAACACAAACAA